GGCGGGGGAGGCGGAAACCTCTCCTCCTCCATTAGGGTTAGGGTTTGGACCTGAGAAGGGAGGCGGGGGTGGGGATCGAAATCGAGGGGGGTTTCGGGGTTTAATTGGGGATTTTAGGGTTAGGGATTTTGGGGAGGGGAGGGGGGAGATTTTCGCGTGTGTGGGGGAGCGTCTGGGATGAGGGAGCGTTATGACGCGGACGTCGCATCTGGACTTTCCATGGAGACGCTATCGTACTTGTTTCGTTCTTTTTTCACTTATTTGCTATTTTTGTGTGAGGCTTGCTCAATTAACCTTTTACCCCTCTTTTCTTTTTGGTGTCACTAATTTATATATCCCACCCCCTAACACACACCCCCCCTAGGGGTGTGCAACGGTCGGTTCGGTTCGGTTTTTACCAAAATTTGAACAACCGAACCGAACCGCCTATAATTCAAAACCGAACCGAACTATTGCTAGTCGGTTCGGTGCGGTGCGGTTCGGTTTGTTCGTTTCTAACTTCATCAAACTTCTTATCAAACAACAAACTGTGTTAAAGAAAAAAAAGATATCAACAAAGTAGGAGATTATGAAGCATTAAACATTAATATAATGGATTTGTTTTCAACTCATAATGATTCAGAAAATGAGTTTAGGGTTTGAGTCTTTGACTCTTTGGAGACGGGTCGGGTAGGGTTTGAGATCAGAATGGGTAGTATTACACTATATTCGGTCGGTTCGGGTCGGTTCGGGTAGAAAAGTTTTCAAACCGACCCGAACCGCCCTACTCATAAAACCGATTTTTTCGGGTCGGTTCGGTCGGTTTTTCGGTTTGGACCGAACCATGCTCAGCCCTACCCCCCACACACACACACCACCTCAAATTGATCCCTCTATACTTAAGTTAGAAAAAAAATACATGCAATGTTACTTATTTATGTAGGAATGTTTGTTAATGGAAAAATGAAAAAAATACATACAATGTTACTTATTTATATAGGAATGTTTGTTAAGGGAAAAATGAAGGAACAAATTTTCGATTTAAACTCCTTTAAATTTTTTATTAAAAAATTCGACCCAGTCCACATTTTATTCTCAAAACCGACCCATTTCGGGCCACGTCAGCAGCGTGGCCACGAAATGGGTCGGTTTTTTTTTAAATGACGCCGCTAAATAGTCGGGGTTGCCAACCCCGACTATTTAGTTATGTCGGGGTTGGCAACCCCGACTATTTAGCTAAGGGCAGGCTAAAATAGTCGGGGTTTCCAACCCCGACTAATTTAGGCCCCTGCCTAATTGGTCGGGGTTGGCAACCCCGACCATTTGGCAGAGAGGTCGGTGTTGTTCCCAAAATGGTCGGGGTTCCCAACCCCGACCATTTGGCAGAGAGGTAGGTGTTGTTCCCAAAATGGTCGGGGTTGTGAACCCCGACCGTTTTGTGTTCGTGCACAAGCTGATATTTATTTTGCTACGATAAAATGGTCGGGTTTGGGAACCCCGACCGTTTCGTGTTCGTGCATAAAATGGTCGGGGTTCCCAACCCCGACCATTTGGCAGACTTTTTCAGCTGAAAATAGCTGGAAATACGAACTCCTCTGGAAATTCAAACTCCTGCTGTTACATATCAATCCATAATTCAATCACAATAACACACATATCAATCAATAATCTCAAATAAAAATCCATAATCAATCGGATACATACCATGCAATTCACATACTGATAATCAATACTCAATCGAATACATAATATTTAGTTTCAAACGCAAACATCCTATCAATACTCAATCAGATACATAATATTCAGTTTCAATCGGATACAACTCCCTTTCCTCTCCCTCTCCCCCTCCTTCTCCCTCTCCCCCTCCCCCTCCCCCTCCTCTCCCCCTGACACGTTCACCTTCGACGTGAGCTCGGATCAGTTCCTCGTCCGGTTGTGTGTGAAGTTGGGAGTGCATGACATCCTCATCGACTCGAACCGACTGTGAACATCCGGCTTGAGCCTGTTGTGAGCCCCAGCTTCATCATGTGCACCGCTTGAGCCTGCCCCTGTGTCCTCGGAATCGACGACGATCGTACTCAATTGGTCTCGCTCCTCACGTTCATCTCGTCTTGCATTACGCGTCCTTTGAAGAGCGGACCGAATCTTTTTGATCATGCGAAGGAACGTGTTCCTCGGCCCTGGCTCGGTAGTTGTTCGGATTGCATCATGCGCCATAGTAGAAAGTTCTTCGAGCTCTTGTACCTATACGATAAAAACCCCAAGAAAGCTATTATGATTTGGATGATAATAAAATAAAACTCACAAGGTAACTGTATATTTTGCTTATACACTTACCAACTCTCTCTCAACTGGGCCTCTTGGTATGTATTCCTTAGGAGCTTTGTTCTCCTGAAATATCCACCGGCGAGTAATCCCCCAATACCACCGCAAATACACACCTAGGTCAGGTGCGTCAACCCTCTCCATCACCAACTGTTCTTCCCTGTTATCCCACCTCCCGATGTAAGCACTGTGAATATGTTCCCAATCTTGACGATGTGCACCTTTTCTGGGATTTCTCTCTATTACCTCCACAGGGACCGGGATATGTTGTCGTAGCCCAAATTGTCGTAGCACACGGTCGGGCACGTGCATCTCGACAATCTCAAAACATATGATCGGGACGCGAGCACGCCACACATCCGGCTCTTCTGTGCATATATCTGGTAGTGACTCTAAAACTTGTTCATATGGCATCCACTTGACCTATAAAAAGATAAAGTAAAGCAGATTTCAGTAATAAATGATGTAATGATTGAAAATTTTTAGATATTATGATTTAATACATGTTCGTCCTCCATTTGATCGAGTTCGTTCCTATAGAAGTTTTCATGGCCCTTTGGTGAGGTATGCCATGATCTAGATACATTCCATCTAATTTATATACAATGAGTTAGTATAAATTAAAACAAATGTATAAAATTACATGTAATCATATATTTTTGTAAAATAACTTAGTAATACCTGCAGCCTAACGGAATATTGCCATCGAGAGCACGTGCCTCTCTCAAATCTGGGCAACCCAAATGCAATCTCTCCCAAGACCATATCTGTAGCAGAGTGAGACAACCCTTGAATTCTTTGTTTTGAACAAGAGCCACTTTGGTCATCTCCCTATACAGATACGCTAACACGGCACTCCCCCATGACAATCCCCCACAATCCACAAGATCCTCCAGGAGTGGCAACCACCTCACGTGCACCGAATCCTTCGTGGAATCCGGGAATAGAATAGTACCGATCATGTGAAGTATGTATGCACGGGCATACATCTTGACGATCTCCTCGGTCGCATCGATCGGAACATTCATAAAATTGTTTCTCAACCATTCAAGTTTGATCCTTCCACCCCTCATGTGAGGAACTTGACCCAACAATACTTCACACTTATCTGTCCAGTTGAAGTCGCCGCTACCTGTGACAGCATCTCCATCCACTCCCATCGTTCAACCAGTGCTGTCAAGAGAGCCCAATCAAGTCTCACCCATTTAATTTGTGAGCACTCAAAGAAGCATGCTTGACGAACATAATATTGGACATGTGGATCGGTCAACTCCCAGCTCGAGTGTGCACGAGTGTGATCAACGATAGTAATGCTCGGGGCTTGCATATAATAAACAGTGTAAATGTTCAGTAACAGTCAATAACTTAGAATAATGTTCTTGGATGAAAATGTAATTTATAACTACCAATCTAATTACCTCCCCAGTGTCAATCTTCGCGGATCGATGTCGAGATTGGTCATAAAGAACCTCATACGTCAATGGCCCCGCCTCCATAGCTGCACATATGATGATATAAATGAAACACATATGATGATATAATGGAGTAGAATATAATGAAGTATAAACGAAGTTGAATAATTAACAAAGAATAGAATAATTATACCCATTAATTGCTATTTATTTGGATTGGTGGGACAGTGAGATCTCCTGTGGCCCGGTTGTCTACAATATCCACATCTATTTGTTTTTTGAACTCCTTCCCGACCTCCATCCATCGTAGACTTTATGCGTGTTGATCTCGGGCGTCCGGCTTGCCGCTTAAATTCAGGAGGTAACACATGCGGCCCGTTATAGGGTGGCCAGTAACGACTATCTACAATGGGATGAAAAAACTGACTGTATGAATCTCTATAGTGGCTTGATTGGTACCACTCAGAAGCGTATGTGTAATAAGATGTATTTGCACCCCCAAATTGCTTGGTCGTAACCGCTATAACATGTGCACATGGCAATTTTTGCAAATCTGGAATGTTACAGGTGCATGCGCATTGTGTTCCTCGTAGATTGACGGTGTAATTATGACCGTGATTGTCTGTAACCTCCCATTCATCTATAGCAAATCTCACAATCTTAGTCAATCTGGCCTGCTTGACACGAGCTCCTATAATCTCTTCATTTTTGGGGGTCAACAACGTCCCCCACTTTGCTCCATCCTCTCGCCGCTTGACAAAATACTTATTTAGTCTATAAAATGTCCTCGCAACCAACGCCTGTATGGGCATTGCTCGAGCCCCCTTAAGTACACCATTGAAGCTTTCAGAACAATTAGTTGTCATCATGCAATAGCGATTCCCTCCATCTTTACTTAGAGCCCACCGGTCGACGTAATCGCTTCCCAAACTACTCTCAATCCAATCATGTGCAGCTGGAGATGTTGCCTTGATTTGATCCCGTATCCGATCATACACACATGTTTCGGGTGTAACACCCGCTTGCCAAAGAAGGTTTTGTAGATGTACTTGACCAAAGCTCTTTTTAAAATTAGCTCTAATGTGTCGTAAGCAATAGCGGTGATTGTGATCAGAGCCAAATCTCCTGTACAATGCTCTTGGAATACCTTTCATCCTATCGGATATAAAAGTAATTTTTCTAGGAGGCAACACATTAAAAATATATAATTGGATGCAAGAAAAAAACCACTCCCAATTTTCACTATTCTCGACCTCTACAACTGCGAAGGCCAAAGGAAATAAGCCCCCATCTGCATCTACTCCTGTAGCGACAAGCAATACACCCTTATATTTACCGTATAAGTGTGTCCCATCAATGCTAAGGATCGGCCGACAAAATTTAAATCCCTCGATCGAAGGACCAAATACCCAAAATACAGAGGTGAATTTATGAACTCCCGGATTGACCTCTTTGGTTATGAGTTTGTATTCAGATCCAGGATTGCTTCTTTTGATCGCATCAAGATATTGAGGCAGAGTCGCGTAAGACCTTTCCCAATCACCAAATATTTTTGTCATCGCAATTCTCCTTGCATTCCACGCTTTGATATACGATATTTCAATCCACTTATCATGTGACACTCTCTCAATTATGTCATCGGGCCTTAGTTCAAGCTTCTTCTTTAATCTTGGCATAATCAACCGAGCTATGTAAGAGGCGGAGGCACCACTGTGGTCTCTCTCGAACATTGGATTGTTACATGTATGAACACCGCAGTATTTTGTGATCCTAAAATACCCATTATGTTTCTTTCCGGCAAATGCATATAACTTCCAAGGACATGCGTAATCAGATTCATTCCCCTCTGCCCGACCTTGCCTTTGTGTATTCATAAAACAGATTGCCTCATAACTTGTACGATTGCTTTTAATTTGCTTGAATTTGACCAACTTTTTGATTGAGTAATCACGAATAGCATCTACCAATTGGTCTTTAGTCTCAAATAATTCACCAACTCTGAAAGGAACCTCCTCATCATCTCCTCTATTGGATGAACTTTCACCAATGCGGATATCATGTGCTGTGGAAGAACGAACCCACTCATCATCCTCAAACTCGTCGGGGGGTGGTTCTTCGTACTCCACATATTCATTATTAACATAAGCTTCATCTGGCCAATCCGGATTCTCTTCATCATCTTCACCCACAAATTGCATGTTGTCAAGTGTTGCACTATCTTCATCTTCACCATCAGAGGCGTCGCTTCTTTCACCCTCTTCATATGAAGGTGCACCACCCTTATATTGAAATTGAGTCCGCTGTATTTCACTCGAAGAAGAAAGAAAGCCTTCAGACTCAACTTCCAAATCTAACATGCGTGAGAATTCTCCTGGAGGGTTGAATATTCGGCCCGTACTATGTGGCACCGTTTCAATAAACAATTCTACCGTTGGTTGTGACTTGCTCAAATTAAACAAAATACTCATGGAATGATCGTTTGAGATCTCAACGGCGGACGTTCTATCATAAGTTATCGGCCAATTGCATATTATTTTTAGCCTGCAATCTCGTGGGTCAATTGTCGTAACTCCATGAATTTCATTAACCAAGTCAAGGTAACTGTATGATTCCGATATCATTAACGGAATTGTCACCCCTCCGACGTACATTGTCATATTATTCATTCCATACTTAATCGTTCCACCGTAAGAGCAAGCAATAAAAATCATACTGTTCAACCTATACAAATCAAAATTATATCATTTAAATGCAAAAAATTTAAAAAATATTATCAATTAATACCCTAAAATCTAATTGCAACCCTAAAACACAATTACAACCGTAAACCCCTAAATCCTAAACCCTAAAATTGACCCCCAAATTCTAAACCCTAAAATTGAGTATTCTATGCCCCCAAATATTTAATTTCAACTACAACAAGAATAAAATTTCTAAATAAACCACTACAAATAGAGTTCAAACACTATAAATTCGTTTTGGAGAGAAAACCCTAGATTTCTAGGTGTCAAAAGAGGAGAGAAGGGAGAGAGTACCTATTAGATCTTTCACCTCTAGAATTCTGCACCAAAAAAGAGGAGAGAAAGCTGCGATCGACGAAAATGAGAGTTTGGGAGGAGGAGATCGACGAAAATGAGAGAGAGAGACGCGGCTGGAACCGGAAACGAGTGAGAGAGTGAAGTCGTGACCTTTATATAGGTCGGGGGCCCAGTGAACAAATAGTCGGGGTTGTGAACCCCGACTATTGTCACTTAGCCTTTTTCACCGCTCGGCGGCTGAGACAGAGTCTCTGCCAAATGGTCGGGGTTCACAACCCCGACCATTTTGGGAACAACACCTACCTCTCTGCCAAATGGTCGGGGTTGGGAACCCCGACCATTTTGGGAACAACACCGACCTCTCTGCCAAATGGTCGGGGTTGCCAACCCCGACCAATTAGGCAGGGGCCTAAATTAGTCGGGGTTGGAAACCCCGACTATTTTAGCCTGCCCTTAGCTAAATAGTCGGGGTTGCCAACCCCGACATAACTAAATAGTCGGGGTTGGCAACCCCGACTATTTAGCGGCGTCATTTAAAAAAAAACCGACCCATTTCGTGGCCACGCTGCTGACGTGGCCCGAAATGGGTCGGTTTTGAGAATAAAATGTGGACTGGGTCGAATTTTTTAATAAAAAATTTAAAAGAGTTTAAATCGAAAATTTGTTCAAAAATGAAGATAGAGAGTTAACTACTTTCAATTTGCAAGGCTTGATCTAATGACAGAATGCAAAAAATAGTTAGAACTATTGTGAGGTTCACTTTCTTTATATTTGATGTTTGGTTAGGAAAAAACGGGGTTGCATGTCTCTTTAGAAAATAAATTTTCACCTCAATAAGCAATATTTTTCCCTCCTCACGATTTACTTTTCATTTGCGATTAAAAGACATGGGAAAAACTATTGTGATATCTATTACTTTTTTTATTTAATTTCACTCACTTTCTCTCAAATTGCCTAATAGAGGAAACATATGAACCCGAGTTATTTTATTTTTTTAATTATTTCATGTATTATTCACTTTTTACAAAAGAAAAATATACCATCTATATCTATATCTATACTACTTATAAAAGGGAATACACATGTCCAAACTTTTGATTTTCTTTTTTGCTCTCTCATTTTTTTATAACTCAAAATTATACTATTAATTATAAAACTAATGATCATTAACCTCTCATTAACTATGCTCCTTATTATTTTCTCAAATTATTTGGTCATTCACTAGAATATATTAATAATTTATAATGATAACAAAATTCGTGGATATTTGATAATTTATTATAAAGAACTATTAATTATATAAAATAGTAAAAGTCATTCATTTAATAAATTATTGCACATAATTATAATTATTAATAATAGTATAAATAGAGGTTATCTATTGAATATTACCTTGTTTGATAATTAATATCATCTTAGTAATAAAAATTTGGACGTCATGAATTAAAAATACTTTTATTGTGGAAAATTAATTTATACAAAAAATTAGATCCTTAAAATTTATGAAACATATACTTTTCTCTTCTTTTTTCTCAAAATATTTGGCCACTCGCTATAATATATTAATAATTTATAATGATAATAAAATTAATAAATAAATTATGATTTATTATAAAACAATTATTAATTATAATGAAATAGTAAAATTATTTATTTAATAAAATATTATACATAATTATAATTATTAATAATAGTATAAATAGGGATTGATTTTTTATATTATAACGATTATTACCCATTTCGATGTTATAATATCGTCTTAGTCATAAAAATTGGACATTATGTATTAAATATACTTTTATTTAGGAAAATTACTTTATATAAAAATATTGGATCTTTAAAATTTATGAGTCATGCACTTTTTGTTGGAAAGTAAATGTCTCATATATTTCAAAAATATTGGATCTTTAAAATTTATGAGTCATGCACTTTTTGTTGGAAAGTAAATGTCTCATATATTTCAAGGATCCAATATTTTTATTGAGTCATGCACTTTTTGTTGGAAAGTAAATGTCTCATATATTTCAAGGATCCAATATTTTTATATAAAGTACTTTTTCTAAATAATAGTATTTTTAAATTTATACTATCCAACTTTTTATTACTAAGACGATGTTAATTATTGAATAAGGTAATATTCTTTATAACATTAAGTCATATAATATTAAAAATTATTACAATTATTTAATAGATATTGTAATAAGATATGTACATAACATAAATATTTAATAATTTAAATGGTTTAATTATATCATTATTGTTACTTAAACTAATAATTATATTATTATTTAATAATTATACTCCTAAATAAAATTTGTAATAAATATATAATAATAGAAAATTTTAAATAACTATTAAATGTATGTTGATAAGTGTATAAGTACTAATAATAGCATAAGTTATTTTTTAATCATAGTGCAATAAAATAAATTTTAATAGTTATATATAATTTATTAAATAATATAATATTAAATACAACAACATGTCTACGTGCAAAACATGTGCATTGTACTATTTAACATAAAATTCATAGAGTAAATTGAGTTTTAAAAATATTACATAGGAAATATATTTTATCCATGTTCACTAGTATAAAAATATAAGATAAGACGATCTTAAATTCACTTTCTGAAAAATATATGGTATTGTAATTGGAAGATCATGTATTTTACATGAATCAAACGTTTTTCATAAAACATATATAAAACTGTCAACAATTAATAGAGTTAAATGAATTGCAATTGTGCAGTAAAAGAATAAAACCATATAGAGTTAGATGTCTATTTCAGATACATAAATAATATGGATTTTGTAAGGAACTATCATCTATAATGTTGTTGTATTATGTACAGATTGCATTTACCAATTGCAATATGCTTATTTTTAATTATTGTTAATATTGTCACGTACGCCAATATCAAAGTTTATAGTAACAATGTAAAGGTAAGCTCATATCTTCCCTCTGAGCATTTTTTAAAACCATTGACGAAGATGGGTTGATAAATTTTAATTCTTGCATTACTTATAATAACAATATTTACTTATTGATGTCACAAATGGGAACACTTTACATATTTCACCTAAACACTCAGTAAAATCATTGACTATGATCATGTTTGATAAATCTTACCTTGATTGGTAATTAAAGTAGGTTTGCTCACATAAATCAAAAGTTTTTTTTTTATAATAGTATAGATAGATAAATTACTTTGCAGATTCAAATATGTGAGTAACACTGGATTCTATTGGAATCAGGGTAATAATTTATTGTAATTTAAAATTTTATTGCTATCTTTGATATGTATATATTATATT